AAAAATAAAATATCTTTAAAAAGATACGTTAATTAAAAAAACAAAGTACTCAGTCAACCACAATTACATAAGGTATTTCTTTAAAATACTACTTAAGCAATCGTATGAATTTTCCTTAGTAATTTTGAATATAACTATATTATAAAAATAATACTTTTATGGGTATTTTCTCTTTATTTAGTTTTCATAATATGTATAAAAAAGAATGAAAATTTCACAAATACACTAAATCTGCCTCCCTGGCTTCTTAATAAATATGTACTCATTAGAAAAGGAAGATGGATGGCATTAAGTAAAATGATCGCTGAGGAAGGTCAGGCCAGAATGACTCAAACAATATTCTAGCATAAAAATTAAATGTATTAAGGAGAGAATTAACCTGAGGGTTCCCTAAATCATTTGACTGATAATACACCTAAATCATCTGATTGATAATACAAGCATGTACATGTCAAACCTCTTCAGTCAGTTCTTTTCTTCTGTCCTTACCTGCTTAACGTCTAGAAAACATACTGACATTTGGTTCCTCACCTGGTGATTTCTGGCAAGTGAAATCTTAAATATAAAACGACTCCTACAAACTGCTCTGCCAAGTACAGTAATTCATAATTTTTGTCAAGGTTCAGGGGAAGGCACAGTGGAACAACCTAGAAAGAAGAAAACAAACAAACACATAGGTTTATTGCTTGGTATTTGTGTCAGGTTGCAGGCCCTTTCTCTGGTTCCTAGTGTTCTTGTCACATGTGTCCTCTATGGTACACTAAAATTAAAATTTATTCTAATTCTCAAAATAAATTCAGAATACCCTCAGTAGTAATAAAGCAATATTTTTCACTTCATTGTATGTTCCATCAGTATAACCTCCAAAAATATGTATTTAAGGTACTGTTCAACGTCTGTGGCTTTAGATTTTTGTCTTAAATATATCCTTTGCAAATATCAGTCCTAAACACTTCTTCCTTCTAGAAACAACATGTATCTCCTTAATTAACTGCCAGGTCTAGTGCTTTCTATGAATTATATTTGAAAATTGCTTTTAGTTAGACTCAGAAATAGGTGGAAGAATTAATGTACCAATAACAGCACCTCACTCATTCACTCCTTCATTTATTCAAAAAAAATCCGATTAATAATGTTATTTAGATAATATATGGAATACTGGAAAACACAGAGGAAATAAAAGTTTAGATACCCTAGTCTCCAAGGAATTTACAAGAAAGTGATTTAGAGTCATTAATTCTAGCATCAAGTATCTTTTTTCTAAGGGCAAAATTTAAGTTAAAAAAAAAAAGAAAGAAAGAAAAGAAAAATTTAAAACAGAAAGCCTTTCAGGAATAAGTTCTTGGGCATACATGAGGACATTGTGTAAGAATTGTGTACATATACAGATTTATATCTTGCTCCAGAAATAACACTTAATTTCCTCTTAGAACTTCATAAAATCTACTCCAAGGCACACAGGGTGATGTGTAACCAGAACAAATACTTAATAAGGGACTAAATTACTAGACATTCATGCTGCATGGCATTTTAGTAAGTAGCACCAAAGTTACTGCGTATGTCAACTAGCTTATCTTATTTTCCTTTACCAAGTAGATAGTGTAATATCAAATATTACATTTTTGGGGACAAATATTGCTGTCTTGGTAAAATGTATAGAGGTATGCATATCCACATGGTTAAATCACTAACATGGTTAAATCACTATTCAAAAATTTTTATTTTTATTGTCTGCGTTATTATTATATAAAATTTCACTTTGACTTGTAAAAATAAAAAATGCAAGGACTGAACTAAGGATCACTGACACATGATCCTTATTTATGGAAAAAAACAAACAGAGCTTCAGATGTTGACCTGTTTATTTCTATAAAGGAAAAACTAGGACCTACTCCTAACATTGAATTCCTGCATCAGTTACGTATTAAATCAGAGAAACTAAAAGCAAGTTTCAGAAGCACAGATTAATATAATCGACCACTCTGAATTTTGGTATACTTAAACCCTGCTAAAGCCTGTTGTGACAAAGTTGTTTCCACTTGAAATTTTCTGAGCACTCTTATAAGTACTGACCTGTGTATGGCATGATCAGACTTGTCAGAATGGGATTAAGCAGGCACTGGAAAACGTGTTCACTAAAGTTCCTATGGCAAGATTATTTTTCTCACAGAGGAGTATAAGCCTCAGCTTTTCTTGGTTTCTTAAATAAACATACATTTTGCATTTTGTAAATGTATAGATTATACAGATGAGTGTGCTCTAAACTGACCCTGCAGTCTTTTTTTTTTTTAAACCAAGTTATGAATTATCTCCAATGTTTGTGCCTTGTATGACCAACCAAAAACAAACCCGTTGCCGTCGAGTAGATTGCAACTCACAGCAACCCTACAGGACAGAGTAAAACTGCCCCATAGGGTTTCATTGGAGCAGCTGGTGGATTTGAACCGCTGATCTTTTGGTTAGCAGGCATAGCTCTCCACCACTGTGACACCAGGGCTCTCTTATATGGCCATAATTAGTAAACAGATGGGACTTACAGACTCTTTAGAAATACAAGAATTAGTGTAGAATATCTGTCCTTTTAGGAAAGAGATGAGAAGCTTAGCATTGTAAGATGTTTACCTCACAGGTCTTCTGATCTTGGGCAAGTTTGAATCCTTTTTTCCCATCACAGTAACATGAGTAACCTCCAGGGTAATTGACACAAAGTTGAGCACACATGTGCTCAGAACATTCATCCACATCTAGGGTAAAAGAGAACATAAACTTTGATAGCTCCTAAATGTTCAACCCAAAAGAACAGGGAGTATTCTGATTTCAGTATAAGCCGATGGTAACAGGTCCTTAGTGAAACAAATCCCTATAACATCAAATCACATCTAAAGACTTGACATAGAGATGTAAATAATTTACAAATTTAATTTCTATTTATTTCCACAGCTGAGGCACAAATTTAATTTTTAAGTTCAGAAATCAATAATTAATGGAAGTATAACAATTATACTAATACTCTGATATTGAATTTGAAAAAAATTTCTTAAAAGACTGAGAGTATTAAGATAACTGTCATTTCTGGTTACATGAATTCCATTGAGATTATCTTCTAATTGTTTGCTTTGAAGATAAGAAAACATAAAACCAAAAAATCCATTGCCGATTCTAACTCACATTAAGTTTTAGTTAAAAGAGGTATTTTCTCTTCCTCCTCTATCTTTTCTTCATGAAGAAAAGACAGAAAAGATAGAGAAGGAGGAAGAGAAAACACCTCTTTTAACTGAAGGTTAATGTGACTGGGGATTAAATGATAATATCAAGAATATTTGGTTTCTCATAAAGCAATAATTAATCGTGGGGATAAATTTAAGGACATATCTTTATTTCTTCTTATCTTTTTAAAAAGTCTCACTGTGATATTACCTCCTATATTGTGAAATCTTCTATATGATCACTGTCCCCTTTCTATATTTTGAGAAAATCATTCTAGAAAGTTTGTAATAATATGCTTAAGCCAAAGTCCACTTCAGAGTTATGTATATTCCTTGACATCTTCAATGGATGCACACTGTGGTCTTTGAGAATTCCCAAATTCATAAATGCCATTATAGCATATAATTTCCCTAACATATTGCCTTAAAACGGAACCCCCAAATTAGTGATTCTTCAATGTTATTAATAATTGCAGGACACATAAAGTCATAGAAGTATATGAATACATATAACATCCTATATAAATATTTCAATAAAAATTATTGTCACTCGTTACATACAACTACAATTTAGATGATGAAATTGGTTAACGATAAATCTGCAAATGCTTAAGGTTTACCACGGTAATTTCTGCCTGGAGTGATGGGAGTATGGAAATGGTGTGTGGGAGGGAGTATTTTTGGTGAGAGCAGTGTGGGAGGTAAGGCATCAAAATCTCAACAGGAGCACATACAGTTGGGAAAAAAAAGATTCTAAAATTATTTTTGATTTGATTAGTTTTAGTCATGCTACTATATTTATTTTTAAATTTTGAAAAATTTAAAGGCGGGTGTGAGACAATTTGAATATATTTGATGAATCCCACTAATATGTTTAAGCAACCTGGGGGCACCACTGCAGGCCAAATGACGTGAAAACAAACTCCATGGGGCTATCTATCCCAAATCTACTGGGCCACTGACATTGTCTCTCAATATTTCTCAAGTTTTCAGAGCTCAGGAGTCATTTGGTTATGTTGAGATTTTATTGTATAGGTGTTTAATTCTAACAGAACTATGCCATTTCCCATTTTAGAGTAAATGATTTACTTATGTATACGCAGGAGATGTTTAAAAGGCTTAGGAATAAAACCGAAGGTTTCTAACCATCATGCTTTTTCCACCCACAGTTTTAAACTTGTGTCTTTCTTTTGTATGTGTGCTTTTCCTTTTAGACTGCAATTCTCTTTATCTTTGAATATTATTTAAATGATGTCAAAATGTGTATAGCTTGCTTTCATCACACATGGAGGACTCTGATTCACGTGTAGCTTTGAGAGCTGATCAGAGTATGTAACACTGAATCAAAAGACCATGTGTCGTATACACTTGTACTCTGGAAAGAAGTCAGTGATTACCCACATGACCAAGCTATATCATAGATTTTGCCGTCTTAGAAAATCTGATTGTTGGTTTTCAATAAAACAAATGCTTTTAAATCTCAACTCAGGGCTCAAACCCACCCCCTCCACCATCAGCAATGATATCACCACAACTCTACCTTCACAGGACTTGGATACGGGACTGTATCTGTAGCCTTCAGGACATTCACATTCAAAGCCTCCGGGGATGTTTTTGCACACAACTGAGCCACAAATATCTGGCTTTACAACGCATTCATCCACATCTATAAATGAAACCAAAATATTTTTTTAAAAAACTTTTTTTCCGTAACAAAGCAATGCTAATAAATAACCCTTGATTTGTGTTTTCTGGATCCAGTTTAATGTATGTAATGAGACAACAGGGTGGCCTGGCAATAACAAAATATTAAACCCATCATTATATTTTAGTTCATTAAATATGATATATTGATACAAAGGCATAGGGATTTTGATTGATGTTTACCATGTTCCATTGTATTTATGTGAAAGAAGGAGAGGGCTTTAATTATTTTCTTATCTACTAGGTAATAGTATGAAAAGACATGGGAGAAGTGATTCAACCATATTTTTAATATTTTAATATGTGTTTGTAAATAGATATGTCTGGAATATGGTCTTAAAAGTAGATTTACTCAATAATATCAAAAACAAACAAAAAATAATGAATACGGCTTATCTGTCTTACATTGTTCCTTTGGAAATATACAACTAACAAATCTGTATACTATCATTACTGCTTAAAGTATTCAAGGAAGCCCTGGTGGCGCAGTGGTTAAGAGCTCGGCTGCTAACCAAAAGGTCGGCAGTTCAAATCCACCAGCTGCTCTTTGGAAACCCTATGGGGCAATTCTACTGTCTTATAGGGTTGCTATGAGTTTGAACCAACTCAACAGCACCTAACAACAATGAAGTATTCAAGAGTGATTTTACAGTACCAAGTAAGAGGTTCAGAGAACTTTTAAAGCTGTAGTTAATCCAATACCAATTTTAGTACTAATTTAATATTCCATAAATATCAGATGCATTTATTACATTATATAGTGGAGTAAGAGACAAAGTTTTGGTTGCAACTAGTTATTACATAAGCACCTGTGTGAAAAGCAAATGAGAAATAGCTAAATGGACAAGCTTAGAATGAAAAATATCTTTTCTATTCTAAATAGGTTGTTTATTTTTTTCCACAGATGAACAGACAAAATTTCACACATTACTCTATTTAAAATAGCATACACAAAATAATGGAATCAACCTAAATATTTTGTTTTCTTACATTTGATCTGAAGATTAAAAAAAAAAAAGTAAAGTTTTATACTCTACTGGTGAGTCCAAGTTACTGGAACCAGTAAAAGAAAAAGAGCAATCACACTTTACTACATTTTTATATTGATAGTAGCCAAAAACAGAAACAACCCAGATGTCCTTCAATTGGTTAATGTTTAAACCAACTCTAGTACATCCATTCCGGGGAATACTACCCAGCAATAAAAACGAACATCTTCATACACACATAACTTGGATGAATCTCTAGGCATTTATCCTGAGTGAAATAAAAGCCAATCTCAAAAGGTTACATACTGTATCATTCCATTTAAACAATGTTCTTAAAATGATAAAATTATAGAAATGGAGAACAGATTAACGGTTATCAGGTTCAGGGACAGAGGCTAGGAAAATGGAAGTGGGAGTAGCTATAAAAGGACAACAGGAGGGATACTTGTGGTAATGTAATTGTTCTGTATCTTGACTGTGTCAATGTCAATATTTTGGTTGTGATATTGTAGATGATGTAGTTTTGCAAGATGTTATCATTGGGGAAAACTGCATAAAAGGTACATGGGATCTCTCTACTATTTCTTACAACTGCATGTGAATCCAAATTAACTCAAAATAAAATTTTTAAGTTTTTAAAAAGAGCTATAAATCCGTACGTTTAAAATAAAGTAAAAACACATGACTAAAATTATTTGCTTTGAGGCATGTTGCAAGGAATCATTTAGATCATATGAGCTCAAGTTATAGTACATTGATTTTAGGGCTCTACACTGACATCTAATGTCTGAAATGAAAATTCTTTCATTTTTAGACATTGACTGGCAACCTGATCCCAAGCATATCCGCACCTTGGCTAAGGTCCCGTTGCGATACTTTCATACATATTTTTCTGACAGTTCTGTACTCTATCATTTGGATATCATGGATAAAACCCCAAACCAAACCCATTGCTGTCAAGCGGACTCCAGCTAATAGCTACCCTATAGGACAGAGTGGAAACCTGGTGGCATAGTGGTTAAGTGCTAAGGCTGCTAACCAAAAGGTGGGCAGTTTGAATCCACCAGGCGTTCCTTGGAAACTCTATGGGGCAGTTTTACCCTGTCCTATAGGGTCACTATGAGTCAGAATCGACTCAACGGCAATGGGTTTTTTATAGGACAGAGCAGAACTGCTCCACAGGGTTTCCAAGGCTGTAATCTTCACAGCAGCTGACTTCCACATCTTTCTCCTGTGGAGTGGCTGCTGGGTTCAGATCGCTGACCTTTTGATTAGCAGCCAACTAACCACTGCGCCACCTGGGCTCCTTATCATGGATAAAAGTGTATGTAAACGAAGCACCTAAGAATATAAGTTCGGGTCATTAGAGACTTTCTTATACATAAGAGGACTTTTTGTAATCATTTATATACATGCATATTAATTCAATGGATAAGGATTAGATACTTTTTAATTTAAAAACAAGTCACAGATTCTTTAGAGAACAGACTTGGACTATTTAAATGTAGACTATGAATGGTTATTATTTACTTAACGTGTGCATATGGTATCGAGAATTATGTTGGTTTTCTATACCTGGTGTTCCAATAATACTACTATTCTAAACTTGTAACCTCCAGCAGACCTTCAAATAGGCAGAGAAGAAAGAGATATATGGTCACAAATTGCATAATACTTTAGAAGGAATTGTTAGTTAATACAGTTCATTTTAGAGTCATTTAACAGCACTCTAAATAACATGGTAAACTCTACCATACTAAACACACAGCAATGCAATGAGGGACAACCCATTCCTTGACTATGAATCCAATTTGGGGATCTACCTACAGAGAAATGAATAAAGAGCTAACAAGAAAACTTAAGATTTTCACTTACTACATTTTTTACCTCTTGGTAAGTAAAAGTATTAAGATTTCTTACTTTTTTTTTCTTTCTTACTATATGTTTCTACGACCTCAAACAAAATAAAAAAGAAAAACTTCTTTGTTAGTTGTTCCAATTTCTAAAGGCAAAGTTTAAAACCAGGCTGGAATTTTTGTTTTTTTAATCATCCACACACAAAGCATGATTTGAAGCACTCAAATGAAAAGGGCATTATGCAGAGAGAAAAAAGTCAAAATCTTGGGAAGAGGGAAGCATAAAGAAATACAAAAGAAATATACTAGTAAAACTGACTTGTTGAAGTGCTAAACTGAAAGGCATTATTCAGGTCTGGAGAAGAAAAAAAGAGAGAGAGAGTTATGACCAATGAAGTGATCTCAAATGTATACAGAGAAAGAAAACCAGATCCTCTTCATCTTTCCCAAAACCACAACAGGAAATGAGGTACAAGATGAAGGGTTTATACTGGAAATAAAAAAGGTATTTCTGACAAAGAAAGATAAAATACAACTGAAGAGGTGATTAAGGATTGTGGTGGATTTTTTTTTTTTTTTGTAAAGGAAACAATATTATAGACTCTAGAAAAAAAGATACATTTAATGATTTTGCAAAGCTCTGTAGTGTGCAAGGATTTGCAGTAAAATCTCACCTTATCAGCATATAATGAAATTCTTTATTGAAACACACACACAATAAGAAAACGGCAATAACAACAAACTCTTGTTATCAGTATTATAAACTAAAAGGCAGTACCATAGTATTATTAAGGCTTAAAGGTGCACAATGTTTATTCACTATGATCACTTATAACCAAAGAGTTTTCTAAGAATTTCCTGGAGAAATTTCTCTAGCTGAATTTTTAAACTCACACAGCAAATACCTTTTTATTCTACCGTCTTGCTTTTACCTTTACAGTCCTTTTTATTTGAAAGCATAGCAAAACCACTTTTGCAGGAACAGTGGTAACTTCCGGGTGTATTATCACAAATCTGGCTGCATCCTCCATTAGTATTTGCAGGATTTTTACATTCATTTATATCTAAAAAGAGGAAAATAATTATTTTTAAAGTAATACAAGCTTAGGGAACTTTTCAGAAAGCCAGTCCAGGTGAACCAGGTGGGTTTACTATACATACCAAATTCACACATCTCTCCTTGCCAACCTGATTTACAAATGCAAGTAAATGTAGCTTGGCCATCTCTACAGCTCATATATCCATCTTCATTGCATGGCAAAGGATTACACTGATCTGGAATGGCTGAAGGAAAGAGACTTTTACTTAATTTTTGCAACATGCCACATTAAAATAAAATTACCTTATCTGTTCACGAAATTATAACTCCTTCCATCAAATAATACTTTTTCATTACAAAATAAGTCCATTAGGCAAACCTTTAAAATTGTTTTGCAAAATGAAAATACTTTTATATGTGCAAATATATACAGTGTTTTCTAATGTAACTTATCTATTTTTCCACATATATGACTTTATTTGATCCTTAAAACAATTCCATGAGAATCCAGACTTTATGGAGCCATGGAGACTGGATGAACCCCTGAAACTATTGCTCTGAGATAATCTTTAAATCTTAAACCAAAAATATCCCCTGAAGTCTTCTTAAAACCAAACAACAGTTTAGTTTAACTAGTAAAGAATGTCTGCCTTGAACATTGTGCTCTCTTAAGATCTATCTATATGGGATTAAACTGACAACAGCAACTTGAAAGATTAGATAGGAAATTTAAGGAGCAGTGAGTTTGTGTTAATGGGGGAGGAACAACTCAGAAAAGGAGGGTGAGAACAGCTGCACAGCTCCAAGCATGTAATCAATGTCTGAATTGTACTTGTAGAAAATGTTGAATTGGTATATGTTCTGCTGTGTGTATTCTCAACAACAAAAAACAAAATAAAATGAATTATTAAAAAAAAAATTCCATGAGGTAGGCAGGACAAATAATACTACTTTCAGTATTAGCAGAAGGGAAGAATTTCGGACTTCAGATCTGGGCTAACATGGAGTGACAACCTTAAATAAATAGAACTCTGGTCAAATATATGAACCAGTTTTTAGACATTGGACAAGAAGCAGTGGAGTACTGTGATCCCTAAGGGAAGAAAAATAAGCAAGGTGAGCCCATCTTGCTGCCTGGAGACAGTTTCCATGCCACAGTGCAGAAAACCCAAACACTGTCCAGTAGTCTCCCAGGGCTGAGAAGAAAGATGGAGTTTGGTAAGTTCAAGCTAGAATTTTTCAGGTCATAGCACTGTAGAGGAGAGAACAGAGAGAAAGAGAGAGAAACTCAGATCTGCAGGGAAAGGTCCTCTTGAGTCTTAGTGTAAGACAAAGTAGATTTTACCAGGAAATATTACCAAACGAATATTACCAGAGGGAAAAAGGGATTAAAACAAAGAAAGAAAGCTCAACTATTTTTTTTTAAAAAAACAAAAAACAGTTGACATCCAGTCAGTTCTAACTCACGATGACCCCATATGTGTCAAAGTAAAACTGCACTCCATAGAGTTTTCAATGGCTAACTTCTCAGAAGTAGATTGCCAGGTCTTTCTTCAAAGATGCCTCTGGGTAGACTTGAATTTCTGATCTTATCAGCAGAGCACTTAACCATTTGTGTCACCCAGGGACTCCTAAAGCTCAATTATAATACCCTTTGCATTTTCTTCATAAAACGACACAGCACTTTATCACTATCTGAAATACATCCATTTCTTTCTTTCTTTCTTTCTTTGTGATCTTTCTACCTTCACTAGATACTGCAATGGTACCTTGGCTCCTGCACATTTCCTTGCCTGCTTCTCAAGCCTTCCTAGTCAACTTTGCAAATTTCTCCCACCCTTCCATCACATTCCCATTTGCTTAAGGTAGCCAGAGGAAACTTCTGACTCGTGTTAAAAAACAAAAAACAAAGAAACCATGGCTGATATCCAACTAATTCCATAAATTTTCATAATATGTCCTCATAAAATCATCAAGGTTTTTTGAAAGTGGTAATAGAGTATGTATTAGTTAAAATGATAAAATAGGTTAATAGGGAAATTGTTATTCGAGTTATTTTTTGTTTCCTGTCCTTTGGCAAATAGATAAAGTATGAATTAAATATACTTACCCAGGAAAATTATTTTACTTGGGTAATTACAGAAAACTTTAAATTAGAGAAAGTTAGATAAATGAGTATCTATACAATGCCAATGTCATGTGTTTAAAACATTCACTGGACAGACATCCGCACTTATATATTGCAATATCACCTTTTCACCTCTTTGGCTATCAGTTGAGAAACTGGCAAAACAGAGGATATAAATAATCTACCAGAATTATCACTAGGCCCAATGTGAACTTCAGAGGTTAATGTGGTATCACATAATATTTTCCACATTTATATTATTGATGCCAAAAAGTCAGAGGAATAAACATGATTTAACTTTGACCTATTAATCAGCTGAAACATTTAGTCATACTACATAATAATGCAACAACAACCAAAAGAAGGCTGTTGGGAACAAAAATTCTGAAATCAGTGACCTTAGTAAAGAATAGGACACTTCAGCTTAAATGTCAGGGGCAAATGCATTTTGAGTAAAGCAACAGCATTTTAGAACTGAAAAAACATTCTTCCAAATGCATTTTGAGGAAACTTCCTTGCTGGGCATACAACCCTGGAAGGGTTCATTTGTTGATTTACAGGCATTAGTTACATTAACACTGGTGTACTTTACTTGCACGGTGTTTTTGTTTTGTCTTTAAAATTGATGGTAGAGATGCTTACCCGTGACACAGCTCCTTAGGTCAGGATAAGCGTTGGTTGACTGACGTGAAGCGGTGAATAATCCAGCTCGGAAAGAGCCAAGACAAACTGCAAATGGAAACAAATGTAGTCTTCTCAGAACACACTTATTGGATCTGAAATCATGGTAAAGATTATCCAAAGGGGGTAGGATATTTATGCTACTGTGGAACCCCCCAGAATTCAAAATATCAACCCTAAAGATTTCCATCCATCTTCTTTTGAAAAATTAAAAGTCTAAAAGCAAGATTGCAATAAATACAGAATGACAGAAAACACGCTTATGGCAGCTTGTTCTCTCTGGAGAAGGTTCCTAATGCCGGAAGTGAAAAAGACCTTGGATTAGGAGGGAAATTTATTGTCACATAAATCTGTGTTCTTAATTCTGTAGCAGGGACTTAAAGTCACCCTCAGATCTGTGGACCAGAGCCTGACTTAGAAGGTGTGTAAAATTAACAGAATGAGCTAGCGTTTCTTGTTACTGTGGACAAGTTCCAGTTCTTCTAATGTTGCATAGAGACTGATACAATAATATTTGTCTAATGCCTCATATTTACAGAGCAAGTTTAGTTCATTTATATTATTCCTCACCACACCCAGTAAAATAGATAAGAAAACTAGCAGATGTTGCTAGTAAACTAAAAAATTACAGCTGAAACAATAGAGATAGCAGATTTAGGTCTTTGAAGTAACTGGAGGTCATTTAGTGCCAAAATATAACACTTCTTTATAGCTGAAGAAGACAACATTATAAGCATCAATTCATTGTATAGACAGTCAACAACTTATTAAAAAGATGGTATTTCAGTTATTTTTTGGTAACAAACAACTCCAGAACATAGTGGCTTAAAACAAACATCCTATTTTGCTTGTGACTCGTGTATCAAATATTTGGGAAGAACTTGGCTGGGCCATTTGTCTCTGCTGCATGTGGAGTCAGCCTGGGCAGCTGGGGCTGAAAGATACACTTCCAAGATGGCCTTTAACTCAATATCTGCACCTCATGCTCCTTGGCAAATTTCTCTCCATTTGACATCTCATTTTTCAGAGCCTCTCCATGAGGTTGAGCTTCTCTTGGCATGTTGGTCTCAAAGTGGCACTTCTTTCATGGTGGCTAACTTCCAAGAAGAAGAACGCAGAGGCTGCCAGCCCAATTAAGCAGCACTGGTGCAGTGGTTAAGAGCTACTGTGAGCACTCAACAACAACAGACATTATAGAAGGTGGACAGCTGTCCTCCTGCCCTCTTGAAAGTGGGGGATAATGCTAATCTTTTTGGCGCAGTGGTTAAGAGCCTATGCTGCTAACCAAAAGGTGAGCAGGTCAAATCCACCAGCCACTCATTGGAAACCCTATGGGGCAGTTCTACTCTGTCCCATAGGATCAGAATTGACTCAATGGCAACGGGTTTGGTTTGGTTTTCTGGTGTCACTTTCAGGACTCCCTGGGTGGTATAAATGGTTAAGCACTTGGCTACTAACCAAAAGGATGGTGGTTTGAATCCTCACATAGGTGCCTTCAGAAGAAAAGCCATCAAGATCTACTTCCAAAAGATCACAGCCATTGAAAACTCTATGAGCACTTCTACTCTGAGAAATATGGGGTCACCGTGAGTCAGAATCAACTCAAGGGCAACTAGTTTTTTTTTTGGGGGGGGAAGCGTGCATCATTTTCACCAAACTGTATTGATCAAAGCAGTTCCACGATCCACTCAGGTTCAAGAGAGGGGGAGAGAGGGTTGTAATAGATTCTGCCACTTACTGGGGGCATGTCAAGATAGTACTGCAGAAGATTGTGTGGTATATGAGATATTTTTTCAGACATCTTTGGAAAATATAATTTATGTAGATGGATTTGAAACCTCATTTGAAATCAGTAGTAGCTGTATTAGTTTCCAACGAACATGAAGATGGTGCAGGACCAGACAACGTTTTCCTCTGTTACACATAAAGTCACCAGGAGACAGAGCTGATTTGACTGCAAATGACAATATTAGTTCCCTATTGTTACTGTAGAAAGTTATTACAAACTTAGTGACTTGAAACAATACAAATTTATTCTCTTACAGTTCTGGAGATCAGAAGTCTAAAATCAAGGTGTAGATGTCATTCCTTCCGGAAGCTTCAAAGGAGAATCCATTCCCTTGCCTTTTCAGCTCCTAGAGGCTGCCTGTATCCCTTGGCTCGTGGCCTCTTCCTTGCATCTCTCCAATCTCTTGCTTCACCATCACATCTCCTATACTGACTCTGATATCCTGCTTCTCTCTTATAAGGGCCCTTGTGAT